CCGTGAGGGGCCGTGCGGGGCCGTGCGGGGCCGGGCCGCGCCGTGAGGGGCCGGGCCGGGGCCGCTCCGCTCCCCGCCCGCCGCCAGGCCTGAGCAGCGCAGCGCCGATGGCGGCACCGCATCCGCGCTCCCCTCACGCTCAGCGGGGCTGTGCAAACACCGTTCCCTCCTCAGAGATTAAACTGCCTGAGGCCCGCAGCGACAGCCACTGCAGGTTTTTCTTGTTGGGTATTTTTGTTGGTTTTTCTTCAGCCGCGGAAAGAGCAAATAGTGAAATATTTTTACCCTGAGAATTATTGTTTATAGGGCCTCTGAAAACGGTGCTGGTAGGGGAGGATATTCCTCAGGAATTCACCTGACTGGTGAAAATAAGCATTGWGCAGGGAGGCTGGACCAGATGACCCCTCCGTGGTCCTTTCCAACCGGAAYAATTCTGGGACTCAGTCTAATTTAAAAGATGSCATTTCTTCTGGGTTGCCACAGGCTTAAAAATCTTTTGTGTCCCCCCTCTTTGCTAATCATGGTTTCAAARTATAATTTCTATAATTTAAATGGCTGGATACAGCTTAAGTTCTTCAGTAAGTGCAGTGACTCCTGCTATAGATACAGAGCTGTTAGAAAAGCAGATACAAACCTGTGGGCCCTATCTTAAAGAGACTGTATGGTCACAGCACATGCCAAGTATTTTACATGGTTAGGTTTATGCCCATGGCAAGAACCTTGCTTTTGGAATAAATCAGAGTTCTRTGGTAGAAAATAAAACTAAAATCTACAAGAAAATGTCTGAACATAACCTCAGAAGTTCATAGAGCATTTTAAAGGTCAACAAAGAACAAAACCTACTCAAATTCGGAAAAACCATTTTAATATATACAAGATGCAACATATAAAAATAGGTAATTTACAATTTCAGTTTATGAACAGAGAGTGCCTTCTCCTTCTTTTGTTTCTTCTTTAATTTGCTTGCATCTTTGATTTGCATTCTCACTTGATCTTGTAGCTGAGAAAAGAAGGCCTGGGATGATTTCAAGGCCTTGTCTTTACCTTCATCCTGTCAATGGACAAAATATTTGTTAWAACCAAGAAATGTAAAAACAGTACCATTATACTACTTACTAACACATAAYGGATTTCGACTTAAAAAAGATATGACAACTGATTTTCAAAGGGATTTTTTTACCACATTTTTTTCCACTCCTGCTATCTAAAGAAATAAAGATTATATTCTCTTTCTAAATAGCAATTAGCATGATAGGTAAGAGCAGGCATCAAGAAGAGATCCTTGCAYATCATGAACTACAACTGGGTAGCTGTATTTTGTGTGCTGCTTGCCTTCTGAAAAGGTAACCACAAACATCTGAAAGTAATAAAGTTATTTCTCCTATTAGTTTCTAATACTTAAAATTTTTTTTGCCTTGTTCTAAAATTTTCAGGGATTTTTAGAATTTTATTTAAAAGGTATTGAAAATGGTGCACAAGTTTACTGTTTTATAGCATGCAAAACAATATAAATTCTGATGAGATCATAGGGAASTGTCCACAATAAGGACAAAGTTAAACAGGAATATTGTATCACGAAACAGTTTGAGTTACCCAAAGCTTACACAGAACATAGAAACCTCATAGTACATTCAAGTRGTCCCACTTGATGAAGTGGAATGGTTTAAATGCAGGAAATAAAGAACATGTCTTAGTATTAGCAGGATCACCTTGTGAACTTTGAAATAAAAGTAGCACCTCATACAAAATCTTTTCTGCCTGATGAACATACTTTATATAAAGTAATTGTATCTTACAGCTTTTTCATATTTTTCCAACCTTATACTTGTAATTCTTTGGGATAAAGTTTCCCTTCCTCTCTCCAGCTGAAAACCTTCTATCCTTAAGTCTTACCTTGAGCAGAGATGCTTTGCCTTCTTTTGTAAGCTTTTTTAATTTYGCTGCAGCAGCTTTTTTGCTGAGTTTTGTGCCTTGTTCTGGTTTCATCTTTTCAAGAAGCTTTTGACGTTTTTCCCTTTCTCTTTGCCTCATACGTTTACGGAGCTTTTTCCTTCTCAATTCTCTTTTTTTGTCTGTGGGAGTCTTTTCTGCATCYGTTTTTACATCACCAGCTTTGTTCTTTTCCTAAAGAGAACAAGATCTCTAGATCCATAACAGTGCTAAAGGCAAGATTCACTTCACAGAACTCAGGTCTGTCTCAGCATTTCCATTATTCCAAGTGCCAGCTCAGGATAAGGCAAAGGTTAAAAACTGGCAAAAGCTGGAAAATGAGCTTTGTACAACTGATCCAGAACAATTGCTCTGCTCTAGTGTCATTTAGCTTTTCTCTTCCCAATAGCCACATGTACATTGGGACAAGGACCATCACATAACAGTCAAGATGAAGAACAAAGCATATTATGGCCTACTGGAACCAAATAAAACTTACTCTTTCCCCACCTTCCAGTAAGGAAAAAAAAAACCCCAACCCCTCACCAAAACCCCCAACAACCAGCAATTCTAAAATTCTAGGCAAAAAGCTCTACAAGGTGAGAAACCACCCACAAGGACAGAAGGTGCAGAATTCCCASTGGCCTGACAGACCATACATCCTTCTAAAACCACACAGATCCTCTCCTGATCCTTATGCCATTTTGTATTTACCTTGATCTCCTCTGGTGCTAAGAGAGCAGCATCACTGACAGCAACTGGTGCTACTTCTTCCATACTTATAGCTGGAAGGTTTGACACGATTTTAACTTCTGGCACCGGCTAGAAATAAGGAGACACATTCAGGACTGAGCACACCAGCTCAGTAGGTGACAGAYTGCTGAAGACACCAAGTATTTGGTTTTGTTTAGAGGCATTCACAGTGCATTTAATATKAAGTAATAATGAGCTTAGTAAACAYCAATGTTTGCTTCACTTYCTKTTTCTGGAATATATTTTTAAGTATCCAGTTTRAAAAAGGGGAGAAAGCCCCAAACTTCATGAAACTTACTGGTTTGGGTGTGAAGTGGAAATTACAAAGTGCATCCAGCTTCTGGAAGAGTGAATCCATCATTTCCTGAATTTCTTTGTGTTCAGGATTTTCTTCCTCTTCAGTCTTTTGCTGCATTAAAAATTGAATGTAACACCATTTAAAAAGCCATTTTTCTTTAGCAAGGCTAGTAACAACACAATGTACAATACAGAGCCATTTCACTGGTGAACACTCAAAGAAAGACTAAAGTACTTCCACTTTGAAAGTGTATAAATAAGCATACAAGATTATGGGGTGTGAACTTCAAACCTAAAGGAAAGGTATCGTTTATGTTACCTGGTGAAGTTTCATGTATTCTTGCTCATAAATTTCAGCGAGACTCAGTTTACTCTTTTCATGATCCAAACTGATCCGTTTCTTGTACTCAAAAGCTTCCTCTTTGGGCTTTTCTTTTGGTACTACATCATCCCATGCCTGAGAAAGTCAGAAAGTAATGACCAAATACAACTACAGCCAAATATCAGCTACATCTTATTTAGAACAATTTTCAATTATTTATCTGGCACATGAACTAGTTTATGCATGTGGCTTGCCAGGACTCCTTAAGTTTCCCAATTTCATTTGAAAAAAAAAAGGTAATAGAAGTTATAGCTCTAGTTTGAGTCCTTGTTTTTAGTGAATGAGGGCAAAAACTGTAACAAGTTATAAATTCTTCCTCTTATGTACGTATTTTTTAAAATTCAACAAACAATAAGGCTCAACAAGCTGTGAGATAGAAAATTTGTATCAGTGGCTTTGAAGCAAAATTAAGTGAGCAACTGAGTTTTAGTCAGTGTTCAGAATGCTTAGAGCACCACAGTTATGGAACAGCCAAAACCTACAGACTAGCATTATATTCCAAATAAACCCCTTACAGTTTTATCTGAAGTGCACCAAAACTTGGCATGTAACAGGAATATGAAAATAGGGCTCCTTAGAAATGTAAAGACACATTTATCAAGACAAAAGAATAAAACAACTAGTTGCAGATATTAAGATAACTCTACATTTAACACTGAAAATGCTTCAAACCCATCCTTGGAATGTGTCTTGTGAATCAAATYTATGAACAATATAAGGAGGAACAGGTAAGATAATATTAACCTCATCCAATATTCTCTGTTTAATGATATCTTCAAGCTGAAAAGTAGTTTCTTCTGTGATCACAGGTGCTGAAAGAAAAAAGCAAAGAATTTTAAGATTAATGTTTCTCCAGCAAGGAATAGTTATTGTTCTGAAGAATAAACTACAGAAAAAGGAAGCAAAGCCTTCACAAAAAGGTGAGTGTGTAAGTAAAAGTAAGTCATATTAGGTAAGGCTCATAAACTACCAGGTCTGCCACCAAAGTTATGCACTTTCTGTTTTAATTTACTTTCAGGTAAATTAAAAATTAACAAAAAACATGATAATTTCCTGTAGTTTCCACTGTGMAAATACACAAGCTCAAAATCAAATCAAGAAATTTAATTTGGTGTTCTGTTACCCTGCTCTTGAGTCACAGGTGTTTTCATCAAGATCAAAGGGCAGAACACAGTCTGCACCACGCTGTCAGGCAAGCCCTGTCCCTCTCCTTACCCATTCGGACTGCATGGTCAAAAAGTACTGTTTCTTCCAAAAGGCTGTTCTCAGGGCGTTTTTGTCCAGTCACTTCTCCTTTAAGTTGCCAAGGTTTCTCCTCTAACAGTGCATCTTCTAARCTTTTTATTTTTTTGCTCATCTGAAAAACACAGTTTCATAATAAGTTTAAAAGAGAGGTCACTCATAAACTCACAGCAAGAAATTAATATTTATTTCAGGTACCTGAGGGAATATATGATTGCAGATGTATCTATGTAAGTAAACCACATGTTTTTCTTAAATTTTAAATATACTCTTYGTATTTGCTGGACTCTGAACAAGTGACACAAACAGTAAAAATAAAAAAAAAAAAAATATTTGCCACTGTTTTATAGTATTAGCCAAATAAAATACGAACAAAACCCAAAGAAAACCAAACCACAATTACCTTTTCCTGTCTCTTCTCAAAAGATGACTTTATTTCACCAGGATCAATGCCCTTCTCTAATTGCACTTCTGTTACATCTTCTGTTTCACTGTCATCTGGCAAACTAAAAGTTACTTTTTTAGAAGCTTCTTTACTTCTCATGTGTTCCACCATTTCATCCATATCCTCAAACCTGTAACAATAACATTTAATATAAAATAAAGATTGAGAAGTCTCYATTATTTTTCACATGAAGATATTCCAAACCTTAGACATTTGTAACCTTATAGTTTACAATGGTTCTCAAAGAACCCCCTGTAGATAGAGGACATTAGGAAAACTTCTGAATAAGAAAAATAACTTTGAAAAACTAAAGTCACAGCTCTTAAATGCCTTTTTCAAATAAATATCAAGGGATATTTACGAAAAAAAAACGCAAAAAAATACAAAAAAAAAAAGGTAAACTAATATTAAGGTGACGACACAAACCATGAACATACAACAGTTAACAGAGAATGACAAACTATGACTGGAGTCAGTCTGGCATTCTCAGTATTTTCTGCTGTACTTTAATGTAAAATGACAAGGACATTTTACCTGCATTTTACTTACTCAGACATACTTTCTTCATTTTGCTCTTCAACAGCACCRTCTGCTTCCTCTTCCTGATCACCCTCAATATCATTAGCTACTAAATCATCATCRCCATCATCATCATCAACTGGATCAAAGAAATCTTTGTATGTCATATCTCTGGAACTTTTAATTGGCTAAAAAAGGTGAGAGGGAAACCACAGCTGTTAAGACTGACAGAAATCAAAGGGTATCCTGTTTTTTTGAAGTCTTTAATGCCTGGGGAACAGCACTACTTGTGTAACAGTATTTCAGGGTAGTGATGCATTGACATAATGCATTGAGTGATTTCTTTAACTGGTATTTACAATCCTCTACTACTTAAACATACAGAATTCAAGGAGCTGCAGATTTTACCACACACTTGTTAGAATGCACACAAATTCCCTGGGTATATTTCTTACTTCCTAGTGAGAATGTCTGGTAATACTAAATAATAAGACAGTTTTCTTTGAAACAATTACTCATCAATGGAAGTTATATCAGAATTACAAGGCCACATCCCTGGAAAAGCCTTTTGCTCTGTATCAGCCACCTTAGTGATCTGTAATTGCCAGATGTTGAGTGACAAATCCTTTTCATTTGCTGGGTCACCTATTCTGAAATTCTTCAAGGTCCCTTATTTCTTGTGGTACTATCTCTTCCTTTATTTATGTAAAAGCCCAAAGCCCATCTAAGGAGAGACCAGAATAGGAGAAGACTACGTCCTTCTACTCTAGGAAATTTTCTTACCAGATATTAATTGTAAAGTAAAGCTTCAGAAGTGTTAGTCACCTGATCAAATTTAACTTGGCAGTTTCTACACAGAGTTAAATAGTTTATAGCCATCCTAACAGATACCAGATTTTGATGTAAAGGAAAAGAGGTATCAGAAAATTATTTTACTGATATTCTTACTTTGGCTTCTTCAGAGTCTTCTTCCTCATCATCTGAGATAATGTCTTCAAAATAATTTATATCATCATCTTCTTCTTCTTCCTTGCCTTCCTTCTCTGCATGTTCTAAAAAAGCTTCCATATCAGCCAGCTTGAAAAATTTATCATCCACCACAGATTTTCTTCCCCTTTTTTTCAGTGTGGTTTCCTTTGCTGTTTTAGCTTGTTGCTCCAGWGCTGTAATATCAAAGTCAATATCAGAATCCTCATCACTGTATTCCTGCTCTATGCTTTCTCTCASTTTACTTTGTTTTTCTTTAGCTTTAGTTTTCTCTTTATCTTTTGTATAAACATTCTTCYGTTCAGTTTCTGCTTCCATTATGTTGTCTTCCAATTCCTTGTCACTGCTGGTCTCTGCATCAGAACCATTCTCTTCTYGGTCTGAGAGAAGGCAAAGATCTTCATCCTCAGCATCTCTTGCAATGGATTTCTTGAAGAAATCGAGAACTGCATTGTTCTGGAGCTCTAGTTGTTGCCAAATCTGTTCTTCATCAAAATTTTCTATCACCAGCTCTTTTAGAGGACCCCCACGAACTATGTTACTTCCTTTATTCAAATCGTAGAGAGTCTTTGTCATTGCTCTGAAGTCGGCAGCCAGTCCATCCTGCACACTAAGAACAGAAAAAATAAAATAGCTTAACACCTTCCATTAGTTAATCACATGGTCACACTGCTGCTCTTTTCATATCGGCTTTGGTACTCTGGTGCTACAGAACGGCACTTCTCAGCAATTACTGCTGTGGCTTAACTTTCTACACATCTCTTGGAGTACTGCTACCTCACATTCATAGAAAAAATAAATCAGAATTCTTAATCCTTTCAGGTTTATTACACTTTGCGTGTGAAGAAGTTGGACAGAATACTCCACTTTTCTATTGCTGCATCTTGCAATATGTTGATCGCATTTAAGCGCTCCAGACATTCTGAGGAAGTGAGCAGTACAGCACTAAACACCCTAATCATCCAAGAGCCAGACCCCAGGTTTCAAAAGGTAACTGCCCTCCTCCACTCCTCAACTTTTACACCTGAGTAGTCTCCTCCAGGTTTTTTCCTAGGACTACCAACGCTTCCCCCGCCGCCCCGCGGTACCTGAGGAAGCACTCGGGGCGAGCCGCGGCCGCTCCCGCCACCCTGAGGCATGTCTGGATGCCCTGGATGCCCTGGGTGCCCGGGATCCCCGGCACCGCCGCCATCGTCCCGCGCACACGTGGGTACCGGCACCGCCTCCSCCGCGCGGAACAGCGCTCCGCTCCGCTCCGGGCGGCTCCCGCGCCCGCCGCCAAGGTTCCGGACACAATGGTTCCGCCCGCGGAGCTCTGCCCCGCCCCGCCGCGGGGCCCTGGCATCCCCGCCTCCAGGACCGGAACATTCCCGCCTCCAAAACCAAAGCATCCCAGCCCTGGCCTGGCCCTCCGTCAGAAGCGTCTCATTCTCCCAGGACCCCAAGCAGGACGTGGCAGTCATTCACCGATGGCCGCTGCTTCCCGCCCTGGGAAAGGCGCGGTGTTGCTATAGACTGGGAGGTGCATCAGCACTGGGAAACCTGCTCTAAATATAGTGAAGCTACTGTCATCTTACTTCACAGTTTTGAGTCTCTSACCCAGATACAAGGGCTATTTTGGAACACATATTTCCAGCTGATAATGTGGGCGAAACACCCTTTGTTACCTGGTGTCTCRAAGCTCAAGCTAACGAGGCACGCACACAGCCCTTCACCGTCAGCACAACACTGTCCACTGCTCTTCAACTTCCCTCTTACCTCATGTCGTTTCCTTAACGTGATCCAAAACTTCTTGCCCCTGCTCCTTTCATCTCTCCTTCCTRCCAACAAATGAAGGCTTTTCAGTGCAAAGAACGCCCTGCAATGCCACTTCTTTGTGTCCCCTCATTGTAACTTCGCACACTCAAAAAAACGTGGTGTGGAGCAGAGCTCAGGCAGCAGAGCCGCATGACCTGTACCTGCAATTCTCTGAACATCAGAAACACATCTGACACTTACACAACCTGCGTTGGAAATTGGAAGTGCCATATATCGGGGTTTTCAAATACCCCTTTTGACCGCTGGTTTTAATCTGCACTTTTAACTAATCATAGATAATCAGATTTGAAGTGGCACAAGCTGTTTTATTTATTTAGGATATATCTCAGCAACACACAGTGTGCTATGCCTGACACAATAGAATCAGCATCAGCAGACAGCCTGCTCACTGTCCGGAGTGTCTCTGGCACAATGCTTCATGGCATCCTGGCCTGCATGAGCTGGAGTGGCCAGCAGGACCAGGAAAGTGATTCCTCCCCTGTATTTGGCACTGATAACCCCACAGCCTGAGCGCTGTGTCCAGTTCTGGKCCCCTCAGTTCAGGAAGGACACTGAGGTGCTGGAGTGAGTCCACACAAAGGCAATGGAGCTGGGAAACCAACTAGAGCATCAGGGTGATGAGGAGYGGCTGAGGGAGCTGGGGGGCTCTGCTTGGAGAAAAGGGGACTCAGAGGTGACCTTACTGCCCTCTGGAACTCCCTACACCAGGAGGCTGTAGCCAGGTCAGGGYTGGCCTCTTCTTGCAGGCAACAGCGACAGGACAAGAGGACATGGCCTCAAGATGCACCAGGGGACATTTAGGTTGGACATCAGGAAAAATTTCTTCACAGAAAGGGTGATTAGATACTGGAATGGGCTGCCCAGGGAGGTGGTGGAGTTACCATTCCTGGAGGTGTTCAAGAAAAGACTGGATGTGGAACTTAGAGCTCTGGTTTAGTTGACAAGGCCGTGGTCAGTCGTAGTTTGGACTCGATGATGTCAGAGGGGTTTTCCAGCCCAGCTGATTCTGTGGGCTTTGCTCAGAAAACTTCCTCAGCTCAGCCTTGCTACCACAGGCCTCCTTGTCACATTGTCTCCGAGCTGTGTGCAGCGTCAGGCGCGGCCTCTGCGGCGGGCACATCGCCTGCGGAGAGCACGGCTCCTGTGAGGGCTCGGCCGCCTCCCCCGCAGTCAGGCGCGGGCGACAGCTCCAATGGAGCGCGGTGCTGCCGGGCACGGCCCCTCTCCGGGCACGGCCCCTCTCCGGGCACGGCCCCTCGCTGTGACACGGCCCCTCGCCGGGCACGGCCCCTCGCTGTGACACGGCCCCTCGCCGGGCACGGCCCCTCTCCGGGCACGGCCCCTCGCTGTGACACGGCCCCTCCGCGCTGGCGCGGGGCCCGCACTGAGCGCTGCCGGGGAGGCTGTGAGATGGCGGCGGTGCTGCGGCGCGGAGCGGCCGGTAACGCGGGGCGGTAACGCGGGGCGGCGGCGCGGCACCGCACCACAAGGGCGGAGGGAAGGGCGGCGGAACGCGGGGGAGGCGGTGGCGGCGGTGACGGCGGGGCSGGCAGGGCAGGGGGCAGCCGCGGGTCTCGGTGCCCGCCCCGGCCTGGCGGATCTCCCGGTAAAAGCCTCGCAGGCCAAATGAAACTGCCGCTTCTGGAAATAAAAACAAAGTCTCTCTATCCAACTGACGGGCACATTAACAGCTGACGACTGGCATAGGACAAATTACAGAGCAAACTCCAAACTTAAAGCGCGAGGAGAAGCTGGTTTTTTTTTTTGAAGTGGGGTTTGGAGGTCAAATTCAAAATAATGTCCTGTTCATCATAATAACGTGTACTGCTCAATCTCGTAGTAGTTAGGTTAAACTCACGGTACCTACACCACACTATTTTACTTGGCAGCCACAGTCCAGGAGAAAAGTGAATGAGAGGCTCAGTTCTGTCATTTATCGGGGAGTAGAATAGTGGAAATACAGAGTACCTTTGCATGACTGCACTTGATGGAGGGAGCTAGAGCTGCAGTACAGTGGGTCTCGTTTCCATGARCTGTGGAGCCCTTCTGATTCCCAAAGGCTCCCCCAGCACTGAGCAGAGCAGCACTGTGGATAACCTGAGCCCAGAGTTCCAGAGTTCCCTAGATGCTCACATCACCCCRATATTGCTGAGATTTAAGAATGGCCACACTGTGTCCTTTCTCCCTTTGGTCCAGAGAATGAACACACAGCCCCTGGGTGCCAGACTCCCTATGGTGACAGCATCCTCTCCSATCTTTGGGAGTTCTTGTCCACCTGAAATGATTGGCAATAGAGCAATCTCAGTGACAAGGTTCTTACCATAACCTTCTGTTGTAGAACCTTCCCATAGAGAACATGACTKARTCAATTGGGTTTGGCTTGTGTTTGATTCCTTAGTTTCCTTGATTAAGTCAATGAACACTGCTCCATATAAGAAGCAACAAATAAGCTTATGAATAAACATTTGAAGGATGAGGATCTCAGTTTATGGGGTACTTCATAATCTGCTCWGTTACAGAATGTAGCCCTTCCTTGGTACAACTATGTTTGAACTCTGATGTGCGTAATTCTACTAGATCAGTCAACCATTAATAGAATAAGCCCCAAATAGATCCATTTAAAAATCTTCAAATGAAGCTGAAGAAAGTTATATACTTTAGAACTAGTTTTGTGATGTGTATATAAATACAAGTGTTTCTTTCCTGGAAACATGGAAGTAAAGGGTTTCAATCTGAAGTTTAYTGAAAAGCTTTTTCACTGCAGGGTTATTTTTTGATTATTGGGTTAGAAGATCAGAATTTTAAATAATCTATGTAGTTACTAATCTAGATAATGCAAGAAAAACACAAAAGCTTTTTGTTTCATTTCAGTCAATCCAATTATGGATTTAAAATTAATACTCTGTATGCATTTGACTAGAGCTAGACTAGCTCAAGGTTTCACAAAATAAATGCTCATAAAAATGGGCATTTAAATGTCTTTGACTTTTCAAGAATCCTAGGAATATACTTCACTTTTTCAGTCTATTGTCTTCCCAGGAAATACTGCAAAAATCAAATATTTCTTGGGCAGAACCCAGAAGAAAGAGCATTTTCTATATTTTTTTCTATTGCTTCACTAATAGMTGAGTAACGGTCTGTGTCTTTGTCATGTTACTTGAAACAATACAAATTAAATTACAATAACTATGTAGTCTTATGCCATGGATGAAGTGCAGCAAGCATTATAGATSGCAGATGCAAAAGAATGAGAAAATCCTTGTTTTTCCCATCAGTAAAGACTGCTTTAAAAAAAATCTACATTACTAGTATTTCTATTGAACTAAAGTCTACTAATATTTGGAAGAAAGGGTAAAAGRGTAAAGGGCTTTGGAAAACGTAACAAATTGTATAGTAAGTGATCCTTCTCTTTTGGAGGCTTTTCTCACTTAAAGAACACTGTTGTCCTCCAAATGGAAAAGTATCTCTTCAGCAAGAATTGAATCAGGTCTTAAGAAATTACAGTACAAAACTGAGCTACTTGAGTAGGAGCTTAGGTGGGCAGAAAAGACTGTATAGCAGATGTTGGGGGTGTTCTTTCTTTTTGTAGCACATTTATTTACTCTGGTTAACTGTCAAACCCTACACTAGTTAATTATCCATGCTTTTATTATGCCWCCTAGTTCCTTGTGTGTTATCTCGTGCATTATAGGCATTGCACAGTACTGCTTCCTCAGGGAATTGGTTCACCCTGATTCAGCTGCACTGATATGGCAAGTGTTTCTACAAAATATTTTCAGCATAGACATTTAAAAAACCAGAATTTTTCTGTGTGTTTATAGGGGATTTTTTTAACATGTAAAAAGTTGAAAAGCACATGCTGTCCTAAACCAGTATGATAGCCTAAAGGTAACAAGTGAAGAATTGTCCAGAACTTCTTGCTGTGATGAAGGACATGACAAGATGGACTGTGTGAAAGCCTGGCAAGAAATACTGCAGGGCAGTTACTTGCAGCACTGGACAAGTTTCTGGAAATACTTAATGTAGGATGTTGGTTTAGTATTATCAAAAAATGGTGAATAGACTTTTGTGATACTGAAGTCCTTGGTAATATGCACATTGCATGTTATAATTTTAAGTGTCAAATACATGCAAACATTTCTTCCATCACAGCACCATGCTCAGAAATGTTTAGATTTAAGGACTCATCAGTTATCTTTGTGAAGAAAAATTACCTGGTAGCTGTAGAATCTTGAATWCCTGTGGAATGGTAGTTCTCAGTTCCATACCCTGAAGCAAAGCTGATTAAACCTTACAGAGTACCACAAGCCCAGCCAGGGCTATCTATTCTCCATGTGTTGCCAAGCATCCAGAGTCTCAGTGCATCATTGGCATAATCTCTTATCAAAATACCACAGTTTTCACTTTAAAGCAAAGAATGCCTCAAAGACTTCCAAAGTGCTGAGATGCCTTCAGCTTGGCCTGAAGGCATTGGGAACTTTGACTTGGGCTAAAGCAAACTGCCATGAAATTAAAATGTGGCTTCGATATCCTATATATATCCTTTAATCTAATTCTAATTTTGGTGCTAGAAACAACTGATRCTATCACAATTTCTCCCCAGCCCCAACCCCTCCAGATTCTAGTACTCTGACAGATTAACTTTTAATGCAATTCATTTGTAAATATCCTCATTTTATATCTTTCYTTTCCTTTGTGATTTTTTGTTTGCTATAATTTCAAGATGTACAGGCATCTTCAGATTGCTTTCTCTATTTTTGTGAGAAGCTCTGAAAAATTCAAAAGTCACTATTAAGCACATTATACAGTTGGCTTTTATGATTGGTCATATATTCCTCTTTCTAATAGGCCCATGTAAGGATTATATCAAGTTTGAGTCTACATTGGGGTTTTGTTTTGGTTTTTTTTAATAGTTCTGAGTATTTATTTAGTCTCTGAAAAAAAGTGTTCTTTGAGCTGTTAGTACTCCAGAGTAAGTGTTTCCTTGCTCTCTGTCTACCCTGAGCGTTGCACAAGGGTGTGCCAATGGCATGRCAGCTCTGCAGGCCTTTAAGGGGTGAAGAGCAGAAACTTTCTCAAAAGYGTCCTGTCAGTGCTATTCACTTTCTTTTCAGGGCTTCTTAGCAGATTGCAGACTTCAGCTCCTACAATACGAACTCTATCATCATCAAAGTCCGTTTCACAAAGCATTCCAAGCTGTTTGTGGAAACTGGGCCGACTAAATCACGTGGCAATTGCAGTGCCTGATTTGGAGAAGGCTCAGTCCTTATATAAAGATGTTTTAGGAGCCCAGGTGAGTGAGACTGTTGCTCTTCCTGAACATGGTGTCTACACTGTTTTTGTGGAGCTGGGAAATACCAAGCTGGAGCTTCTACATCCTTTAGGAGAGAAAAGTCCCATTGCAAGCTTTCTGCAGAAAAACAAGACTGGAGGAATGCATCATATCTGCATTGAGGTATTTTAACATAATATTTCATGTAATATGATAGATATAGTAAAGTATGCATATTTTAATAGGTTTGACCTGTGTCAGGAAGTAATAAACTAGGCTGTCAAATTTATGAAAAATTATTTTTCATAAGCAGTCTTAAATATGCCTTTTTTTCTGTTTGGAAATCACATACCAGTTTTGTATATCAGTTTGATACAAMACTTCATGCTGCTGCCTATTATCTCCATGTCAAAACAAGTGGAAGATTATAGACTAATACACACAGTGAAAAAAAGCAATTGTTGACCTGCTGTTTAAGTGGGACTGYAAAACAGATCTGGTCACTACCACAGTCAATCAAAAAGATTAATTTGCCCCCTCCAATTTTCATCCACCTCAGAATAGAAAATCTTACAGCTTCAAAGATAAGTAGTCTTCTAAGTCARCCAAAAATAGTTTTAATAAGAACTATTAAAGAACTTCAGTGTCAATTGTTCATTTGGAATTTAAAAACATATTTTGTAGAAATACCTTTTATGAATAGTTTTCTTACAAAAAGCTGAATTGTAAAAATTCATTCCATGCTGGAGAGGAAACATAACAAGTTTATCAAAGAATTTTTAATTTCTTCTTTCTTCTACAAAGGAAATTTTAGATAGGTGTTTTCATAGGCAACTTGTTTCAAAAAGATAAGTATTTTAAGAAGAAATGAAATTATTCCTGACCAGTTATAATTTAATACCTGCAGTGAAAACCATGCTGGACACAGTAGAGTAAGAGAGCAGTCCAAGCCTGGTACTCCCCTGACATGGATGCAGCCAAAGGCTTTTCCCTGTTCCCGTCACTCATCCTTGGGGATGCAGGAGTTCACTGCAGCTGAGCCCAGCTCAGTTCCTCTTCAGGCCGTCTCTGCAGCACAGGAGCAGCAGCTGCAGTGGCTTTGCTGCTCGGGGAAAGAATCCAGAGGGGCCATGGCACATGTCACATGTGCCTTCTAGTTTAGATAAAACTTGACAGTTGATCCTGTTTCTGGGTTTTTTTTAGTTGGTTTTTTGTTTTTTTTTAAGCTGACTGGTAGTTGTTTGTAGGAAGAACTGTAGTGAGTTTGGAATATTCATGAACAAAACTGCTGCAAATGGGTAGAAATTAGGTGATGTCTRCTTCTCTGAATTAAAGATAGGTATTTCCTTCTTCTCTACAATGGCATCATGAGAGTTTATTCACCAAACTAAGTCAAATCACCTCAGTCTTGAATAGCTATGCTATTATAATTCTAGGTCTTTATTGATCACTGACTACTGAATTTTCTAAACTGAGTGTTATTATTAAAAAAAATGAATACACTTAAGTTTTTGGAAGATTCAGATTTCATTGGATGACATGATATCAGAACTTCAGATCACATTGCACAGTATAGGCATGCTTTTGTTGATTTCATATTTCTGTAGGAAACTATACTGAAATAGTATATTAATGGCTATTATTATAGTTAAGTTCAATAGAAAGACCCTGTTTTATTCTGGATATATTTTTGATTATTCCAAGCTTTTTTTGTTAGGAAACTATGAACTTTAACCTACTCAGAATGAGAATATACAAATCTAAAAGGGAGTTTCCTTTATGTTCTGCCCACTGCYCTCCCTTTTCACCAGCATTTAATGAGTCAGTGCTTTGTCATCAATTATAAAGGGAGGCATTTTTCTTTACTTAYTGACACTTGGAAAGCAATATAATCTTCCTAGTAAAAGTAATGCAGATCCTAGATTATGTATGGAGTCCTTAAAAAGTAACAACATAAAAAAAATCAATGGGCTTTGTGCATGAGTGATTTTAGTTTAGTAATTCCTTAAATATAGCACAATCTGTTTAAACGGTATCTTGTAAAATCTTCAAATAACAAGTGCAAACTTCTGTAGTACTTTTATTTTTGAGACTAGATGGTTCTAAATGGTTTTATAACATAATTTATGTTCAGAATTATATTGGAACTTAGAAATAACATTTCAGTAAGGAATTGTGTTATTGCTCCTAAATGTAAAATCTGCATAATACAGTGCAATATGTTAATTTGTGTGAACTGTATCTCTTTTATAAGGTTGATGACATAAAAGCGGCTATGACAGAACTGAAGAAAAAAAAGATACGAATATTGAGTGAAGAGCCAAAAATAGGTGCACATGGCAAACCTGTGATTTTTCTTCACCCTAAAGATTGCCATGGAGTCCTTGTGGAACTTGAGCAAGCTTGAGCTGTAATATTCATAAATAAAACAATAGAAGAGTTGTGAAGTTCCTGAGCTGGTGCTGGGAATATTGATGTGGTATTCMGTCTTTACAAGTTCATTTGTAGTTCCCATGGATTAAGTACAGCTTTTGAGTACTGAAACAGTGCTACAGATTTAGGGTCTTTTTTATTGTTGTTGCTTCTCTAATTTTCAGAATTCATATGTTGGCATATCTTGAATTTTCTGTGATTCTAAACACAAATACATGAGCTAAGTTACATATGCACCATAGTAATTTATGTTTTGTTGCCTGCTTGCAGCATGATTTTACCTCTGTAGCCACAGAAACTGTACAGTTTCTAGGTCARCCAACATTATTTTGCTCTGCATTTCAGAGCAGAGACCCACTTCTCAGTGACAATAATAAAGCTTAGATGTTTTCATTAGAAATAAAGGAAAAACAAACATTGTATTTTTTCTTTTCACCATCTGTGCTTTACACTGATTGATTGGTTCATGCAATAAAAAAATCCATGTATTATTGTATGCATGTCTGCAATCAGTAAAGAAGTTTTTCTTGGCGTAACAATTACTGCCGAGGAAGTTACCATGCATAAATCATCATTTAGTTGTTTTATGAACTCTGTAGATATGCAGRCAATGCAAGAAGAGAACCTGAAAAATTATTTGCCTGACATATACTTCAGATTGTAATGCACTTGTGACTTTTCATTTTTTCAATTACAGATTTTTTTTTTTCCCAAGCTTTGTCCATAGAAGGATATCGTGGAGAGACATGAACAAGCAATGATTAACCTTTTCACTTACTTTACGAATACGGTTTGCTTGTGCAGAAGCACTTAAAAATCAGAGGTGAACACATGCCACATAAGTCTTGCTTCTGYACATGGTCATTAACATTAAAGACCATGCCAGGATGCTGATGTCACAGGCTGCAGTCACAGTTTTGTCAACTTATTTATGGACAGACTTCACTTTTTTGGTGTACATTGCCCAAGCAGTCTTTTCCTGATAGTTTCTTTTATAGGTTTGTTTTGATATTTCAGTTGTAGAAATAGAAGACTTGCCGTTTCTCTAAGTTTTCTTAAGCCTTAAAAGGTCATACTTTGCTAGCTTAACTACCATCTGAATTTTAAATTTTCCTGCATCTCTGCATGTACAGTGAGAACCTTCAGCTCRAGTTCATTTTAGTCTAAGAGAGTTTTTACTTAATGGAATGGAATTATTTGCAATATGTGTCATGTTTGCTGCAACGAAATAGAAATACAATGTTGATCTGAACTTTAAACATGTTTTTRAAGACATTGACACTTCCTCATGAATTCTACTTCCTGCAGAGAAAAAAAAGCCATGCTTTTTTTTAAGATAGTTTTGTACTCAAAATAGATACTCCAACAGCCTTCCACAGGGTTCCTACATTTYGTCAAATCACTGTTTAGAGGGTAGTTTGTGATTTAAATTCTAAACTGTTTGAATATAGAAATCCTAAGAGTTATGATGGAGATGCAGAATGATTAAATATTCCTGAAGTATGATTCTGCCATCCTAGGAGACATGCTGTGAGCAAAGCAGCTTTTGTYTTTTCATTCTGTCAAAAGCAAGGAGATGCTTTTCTGGAAAACCAGCATAGRAATGCCAAGACTAGAAGCCTCACTGGTTACATGTCATGATAATTGAGCAGAAGTCTTTAAATCTAATACCCTTAGTTTGGTGCAACAGAAAACGGTCCTCTCCACGCTCATTCTCAATTTCTTTGTCCTGTCTGAAGGAGATGGACTTTTGTTTATGATACCTATCARWACACTCAGAGTAGTAGCCTGAGGTAGYACTTAGGARGGAGATTTTTTAGTAAACACTTGCTCCACCTGCTGATTGTGCTCCCTATCTTATTGGCAGAAAGAGGCTTATAATACTTTTTAACTCGTAACCAGCAATTTTCTGACTGATGTGGGGTTGCCTAGCAGTAAGTCAGCTGATGAATTTTGTTCATTGTATCTAAGTTATACTCCCATTTAACTCACAGTTCATACCTTTCTTCTGACTACTAAGATGGAAGTCAAGCTTTTATGAAAAAAAACCCCAACACTCCTGTAAAATAGAGTTTAGGTCTGCAAATTAGTCAATACCCAAAACTGGGTCATGTTCTTACAAGTTCTTTTGATTTGATGGGATCAGGCCCCCTTGCTTATCTGGGTGTGCACCACAGGATAGGAGAATTCCCACCTCTGGAGCTACAGACTTGGAGAACAGCCAAGGGAGCTGGACAGCTACAGATCCRAAGGAAGCTACACTGAGAGAGGTTTTCTGTTCATAAGCTTAACYCCCTTAGACTTCAGTTGGAACAGAATCAACCCCAATAGGCTGTGTAGTCSTTCACCTTAAGGCAGGCAGCCTTCGCAAGTTATTGTTGTTCTGACTTAGCAAGGGGTTGGGATGGGGCTTACTTTTGTGGGTTTACTCTTTATCGTTGCCATGATTGTGAGAGAGAAGTAACATTAAAAAAAAACAGTGGAAATTCAGAGATGGAAACTGGGGAAAGAGAACTGATTTGCKCTTTTCAGTGGAGGGACATTTAACAATACACCCCTGTTGCATTATTATACAACTTCTGGGAAGAACAACACTGATTCAAATAACTGGAGCCTGATTATCTCGGAAGGGAATTAGGCTTTGACAGTGTTTCTTCTTTGTTTTCTGTCTGGTTGGTTTTTTTTTTTTTTTTTAAAACAGCAAAACTTTCTCTTCTGATAATGTCAAGCTTCTCAGAAGATGAAGCGTTAATATTTTGCCAGCAAATTTTCTCACGCTTGTGCCATTTGTCAAGTGCAAGTTCCCTGTTCTCTCCATGTGCCTTCCCATCTCTCCATGTGCCTTTTTTCACCTCTGAGATGAAGTGTGTTCCCATTTTATGCTGCCTAAGGCAGACAAGACACGTTTTTCTGGACTCTATCAACATTACTCATGCAGCTAAAGAGCTCATAATTAAATGGTGCAAARTATCTTTTTTTACTTCCTCTATGCAACCCTGAAGTCACTCCTAGGTGGGAGGAGGAGAACAGGCTGCAGATTGAATCTCATTCCTTATGAGACAAACCCAGAAGCAAACTCCAAAAGCTGAGAAAAGAACTAACTGCATGCTTTAAAAAAGCTAACCTTACAGTTCTACAATTCTGCAAAAACTCCAGTTCCATCATGCTTATTCTGCAATTAATGCAGCTGAGTTTTATTCTGAATTCAATTGCTTTCTTTATTACCATATCAAGCTGAAGTCTTGTAGACAGACCATGMAACATGGAGATGTTTACATTATCTAGTTGAGGTACTTAGAGTAGGAGCTTTGAATGATACCCTAGGCATTTCATTTTATTCTGTCCTTACAAAGAATTCTTGTAGTGATCTGACATGAGTTTGTTGGGCTTAAGAATCCTAAATTAAGAGAAAAACTCAGAATTAATTGTTTCAATACCCAATTCTTTTACCAAAGCAGTTGCCATGTTGGCCAAATTATGAAGCTGTCAAATAGAATAAGAAAATCATCAAGTTCAACCAATTAATTAATATGAAAATGGAAACCAACAACAATGTATAAATTAGTCAATCCAGAGTTTACATTTTACAATGGAAGACCTCACCCACTTGGGAATGCAAAATCTGTCACCTTTAATAAGCATTTTTGAAGCACTTTGAACATTTTATGAAACATATATTTATCTTGTTGGGAAGGAGGAATGTTTGTATCCTGTGATTGTATAATCTTTAAATGACTATAAAGTTGTGTCAACTATTTTAATGTTCGTTTTTCACTGAATTGCATGTTGTTATTTTTGCTAGCGGCAATGTTTATAGCATAAATTCACAAATGAGGAAGAGTTCTCATTCRTTTTAAAGCAATCATATTTTGAAGCATTTCATGACTTTCCTAGTTGTAATCTACAGTGGCCTTTTAACTGTTAAGCTTTGCTAACACAAAAATAGCAAATAGGTACTAAAATCTTCTATGAAGATCTTTAATGAAGATTTTTTTTTTATTTTTAATATTGCCATTTTTTCAGTAATAAAGACAGGTTTAAAACATGRTTTAAAGTTCTGAAGTAATTTGTAACTGCAGGCACCCTGAAGGCATATGAGATTATGCACAATTTGCATTAAATAAGGGGGATATCCAACTCTGCACCCATGGCTGGCTTTATGGAAATGCTTATTTCCAGAAATTGAAGATTAAGAGAGGCATATTCTTGGACTGGTATCATGCACCCTATTTTTACCTTCCATTTTGGTATGTAATTTTCTATAATAACCAGACTCTGTCTGAGTCACTGTCTCCAAAATGAGGTGAAGGGAAAATGTTTGTTAGAAACTTAAATGAAAAACGTTCAAAAATTGTGTCCCACTCCCTTGCAAAAGACCCTGAAKTCTTTGAGAGGTCAGTTGTAGTACAATGCTTGCAGCTGCAGTAACTTAAAAAGAAAATCCCTGCCCTGTTGAGCTGGAAATACTGCTTTCAGTATGTTGATCAAGAAAATGAGACTTAATTATGTATATGAGGCTAGTTCATCAAGTTAATAATTTTGAGAATTAATAATATKAATTAAAACATCCCTTGCCAAATGTTTAAACAACCTGTCTACAAATTATATCTATAGATACACTGCAGTTCTGTGTAAAAAACATACACGCATTACAGTTTGGGTAACGTTTCGAGTTCTCATTATCTTCAGCAGAAAACCAAAATCAGACAAATAATTAGGATGTAGAAAGGGACAGATGGGAAAAGTCACCAGAGAAAACCATGACAGAAAATAGCCTCTTAGTAGCAAATGGTGAATCTCAACAAAAATCTAAACAACTAAACTAAAAACAAGACAAAAAAACCCCACCCAAAATGGTGTTTCCATGAAGGGCCTTAGCATGTACATGGAATGCGCCTTGATGCTAAGACCTGGCACAGTTCCCACAGGACAAACAAACACACTAAGCTGATCACAGTCATTAAAACAACACACTGATATCTAGCTGATTAGAGTGCAATATAATTTCATTAGGACTGCTTTTCATTTTTGCTATTGTGAGAAAAATTAGCTACAATCTCAAATTTGTATCCTTATGAGCAAAGCCTGTCATAATTGTGCTCAAATAAATGTTTCTTTATGTATAAACCAACTATGTATAAATCACCTAGCTGCCCTGCAAATATTTTCTAATAAAAGGCCTGAGGAACCAACTGTGTTTACTACTCACCATCAGAAATGCTCTTGGAGC